TCACAGTGCACTGAGATTTTTGATAAATTGTAAAGCACTTACGCATCACTGTACCCTGTATACCAAGGCGGTTTTGCCATCACTTACTGTACGGAGGCTCAGTCACTGGTACTTTTTCATTTACAAAGCCATGTTGGATAAACTACCATCTTATATCTGCTCCCTGATCTCTCGGCGAATTGAAAGTACTTATTGCCTGAGATCGCATGCTGTGGTTTTATTAAATGTGCCAAGTGCTAGGACTGTCTTAGGGAAGAAAGCTTTTAGATGTGCAGCTCCACTAACATGGAACAGTCTGCAAAAAGAATGGAAAATTACCAAGCTAGTACTACTACATGTTTTTAAAGCTCGGTTGGATGCTACAAAATCAGATGCTGTTGGTACCTGTACATGTGGTTAGATATGTAAATTGTAATCCCTGTACATCTTTCTGTATGATGTCCTTTTGTTGTTCTGTTGTTTATGTTTTTATGTCTTCTTGTGGAACCTACTGCTGCAGGTCTCCCTTGAAAAAGAGATCATTGATCTCAATGGGATTTTACCTGGATAAATAAAGGTTTTGAATTGAAAAGTGTTTAACAATAAGGATTAATCATCCAATTGACTTCAAGTCATCGAAACTTTTCTCCGTTTTTGGATTCTGTGAGAAAATAAAAGTTTTCTTTAAGAATTCAACATAGTTTGAGTATTTTATACACAGATGGTCAATGTTTTGGGGGTGAAGTATTACTTTTAAAGGTCCCCTATTATACTGTTTTTCATCAATATATTATAGGTCTCAGATATATACAAAACATGTCTCTGAAGTGTTTGGCTCGAAATATCAAACAGATTGTGCATTGTAGCATCCCATAAACCCCTCTGTTACAGCCCTGTTTCAAAAGTGCTGATTCTCTGTCTGTTACTTTAGATCAGGGGTGGGGAACCTTTTTCCTCTCAAGGGCCATTTCAATTTTTTCAACATCCTACGAGGGCCGTACAAATAATTGACCTTTGCTTAAAAAACCTAAAATGAAAATGTCAGAATGCATGCATGTGCACGGTTGTGGCATGACCACCAAAACAGAAAGATATTGGACACAAGATGTGTGCAAATGTATTTAGTTTCCTATCTATGTGAACATGATTTAAGTGGGGCGGGGGGGAACCCACATTTTCTTTTAAATATTGAAGTTAAAAGCATCAATCTGGTGCACTTTGAGAGCAACATGAGGAGATCTATGGATACATCTCTCAACACCCATATGAAACAGAACTGTAAGCAGATTTCTTTTTATTTATGGATATTTTACAAATCACTCTCCTTTCAAACTGTATTCTTGTCTATTAATAACAACTTTTTTTTACTGTCATATAGTATTTTATACCTGTTTACTTTATTCTCTTATTTTTGTATAATTATAATGATCATATAAAGATGTGCCTTTACCTCACTGGTTGGAGAAAAAGCTTCTTATATTCGTTAGCATACCTAGCTAACCAGATGCTAATAACAACAAAGTTATTGACTGTATCCTCCTGGGACCCAGCCCATTGAAAATGTCCACTGTAGTGGACATTTTGTTAACATGCTTCTCCTTTTACTCTTTTGAGCTACTCTATCAATCCCTGATGTGCTGTACAGAGGACATCCTGGTCTTTCCAGTGATATGTCATTGGTTAAAATTGCATGCTGGGAAGTTCCTCTTTCTTTTCATCCAAAATGGCTGGCATACGAAAAACAAAATTGTATAGAAGCAGGAGGAGAAGTCAAATATTGTTGAATAATTGTCATTTTTACCATGAAAATCATATATATTCTTGTTTAACATGTGAGGAACTATAGGCTATAATTAGTTCTGAAAGCAATTAAATAATTCAAGTTTTCAAATAACAGCCCTTTTATAAATGTACATTCTAGTGGACGTCAGGACCGTCTTCATGGACTTTATGACTCAATATTGTTGCAGGAGACGGAACTGAAGCAGACATTTTCTGTACCAGATAGTTCAGGGAGATTAACATGTTGAGCTCTCAGATGATGAGAGAGATGAGGCTTTCACTCCTGGGATAGAAGAGGGTCAAGAAGAAGGGGGGGAAAGATGCAGGATGCTCCATGAGCGCACAGATAGATACATAGAGACAGATAGGGACGAGCTGGAAAGACATGGCCCCCTGTGGGCCAAGAGTAGCACGTATGTCTTATTGTTGTTTTTATTTTAAGTGGAGCCATGAAAAATGAGAATTGCCTCAGGAATGCAAGCATTGTTTCTATGAGCATGGTCAAATGGAGACCACATCCATAAAACTAGTCAAGATGACCCTACAGCCCGTGCTGACTGGAGTCCAATGAGGTACTTTCCCAGTACATTGACTACAAAGTCTTTGAAGATCTGGAAAGATTCACCAAAAAACAAGCTAGCTTTGTATTGACCAAATAAACAGCAATGTTCAGATCAATTACTTATTCATGTTTTAAATAAAGGTGAATGTATTATTGTATTAATATCACTCTATAACCATAATACGTTACATAGTATATCTGTTAATTTTGGCTGTCTTTTCAAACTAATATGGTCCCGACGTCCTCTACAGTGGACATACTGTAACATTTTAAAAATAAAATAAAATAAAAAAAGTCCAAATTGCAAGATGTTTTTTTAACCCTAAATAGGTAGGAAATCACAAAAACAAGGAAATTGGAAGACACTTTTTTTCCTCGGGTCCCAGAAGGGTATGATCAGTATGACAGATGAACAGATCGCCACTGGGCTTTCAACTAAAGACACAGCCACGCAAAAACTGTGGCATGTGTACTGCACCTTATGGGTACTGCAATTTGTGGAAGTGGCGTTCTGGTGCTCGCAACCGGCAGAACTGCACCCCTATCAGACGAGACATATACCACGTGATGACACTTAGGCTCGTGTTGTGTTCAAGGACCCTGACCTTGGCCAGGAAAAATAGGCACTCGCTTGTTTAATTTTTTTGCGATCTAGATTTCTTTAATTTAGGCCCAATCCCAAACCACTCCCTCGACCCTACCCCTCCGTGATGGAGTGAACTCCGTCTGTAGCCACACTCGCAGCTCAACGAGGCTCCCTCCTGTCAGATAGAGGGAGTAAATACAGCAGCAAGCTTTGTGACGGCCTCCCCTCTCTCCGGCAGAAACAGGAAATGCCGTAACTGTATGTAACAACGATTTCAGATCAGCATCTCTTAGACAAAAAGTTTAAATTAATAACTCAAATACAACTCCAAACATCTTTCATTGTGTTTCAAAGCTCTTTTAGTTTTAAACCTGATGTTTACAAGCTTCTTAGTTTTTGCAACGGTCTGTAAATATACACAACTTTATAATAAAATGCACACATTTACCTTTTTCTAGACTAAACACAGGTATTATCCTCAGTTAAAAACACATGAGGTTATCATGAGGCTGTTAACATCGGAATTTATCAGTGGATGTTTGCTGGAACTACTTGTAAACAGCGTGTTTCCTGACGGACACACACAGCGTGACTCCGGTCAGGTAGAGACCGGTCTCAAGTCAGCACCGCTGCAGACTCGCTGTTTGAGGGCTTGATAGCCCACTCCCCCTCCACACTCGTTGCTTTGGAACAGCCCTCAATATGGCGGACCCTCCGCGTGAACGCGCAAACGGAGGGGTAGGGTGTAGGGGGCGGTTTGGGAATGGGCCTTAATCTTTTATTTGTGTGTTTATGGCCCATTCCCAAACCGCCCCCTACACCCTACCCCTCCGTTTGCGCGTTCACGCGAAGGGTCCGCCATATTGAGGGCTGGTCCAAAGCAACCAGGGCGGAGGCGTAGTGGGTTATAAAAGCCTCCGACAGCGAGTTTGCATGGATGCAGGCTTGATAATCTCACTCCACAGGTGTGCAACCGTTTTTCGGGCATGGAGGAAACAACGTCATACAAATGTGAGTTCCATGTGGTTATTTTTTTAAACGATAAATAATACGTTGCCTTAACTAAAACATGCCTTTGTGAACATGTATTTATAAATCTACACGTGTTAATTTGATTTGCTAAGATTACATTAGATTTTTATTTTGAAGATGTACAAATCTAAATCGGAATCAAACTAACAACACATGTGTCAATTCATGTATCCATTCACTTACGAAATTGGTTTAAACTTAAGTGTGATTTGTAATTTCAGGGACTGGTAAAAACCAAGGCACTTATTGCTTTAAGAATGGAAAAGGATGACCTGTTCTGCAAAAAACGCAATGCTGCCAAAGAAGCATGGGAGTGAGTTATGCACTCAATTCATATTTTGTGCAATGAAAGTAATGAATGTGCACTGTGGGTCATTGCCTTAACACCAATATATATTGTTTAAATATTCTATGATAACAGGTCAATCATTAAGGAACTGGACCTTGGGCAACATGTGTCTCACAAACAGGCCTCCAAGAAATGGGAGAACCTAAAAATGAAATACAAGGTAAATGGTGTATTGTTATTGTAAAACATGTTTGTTTTTGAAAAAGCTGAACAAAGATTTCTAACATGCATTTGTTTGCAATAGGAACTTAAAAGGCCAAGGACTGGAACAGGGACTGATCAGGGGGAAGAAACCCCTGCAACATGGCCCTTCTTCATGGCCATGGATGAGGCCATAGGTGCAAGGCCTTCAATTGGTCCTCCTGTCCTTGTTGCCTCAGCCTTGGCAAACCCCACAATCCTCTTTGATCCGGAGGCTGCTTCCTGCTCCTCTTCCTCCCCCCCCCCAAATGTGGCTGATGATCCAGACCCCTCACCACCCTCATCACTGTCTGAGGCTGGAACCACCCAGCAGCCCCCCCCCCCCCCAAAAAAGAAAAGGTGCTGGAGTGCCTAGAACGCGAGGCAGAAAAAGAGGACGAATGCCACAGAGAAATAATGCAGCACTCAGATACATTTCTAACCCTGTTCGAATAAATGGTCGACAATGTGATTTATTTTTTCCCCCCCACCATTGGCCATTTCTATGTTGATTATTGATGTTACTTAAAAGACTTGTTTTTGTTCGCTTGTATTATTTATTTGGAAGACAATAAACCTAATTTAACGTACTGTCCTTCATGTCTTCAATATTGTATGGGATATAGTAAATACAGGTAGACGGGTGATGAAGGTGACATTGCGTTTGCTTGATTGTTAGATGGCTACATTGTTCTGTGTGGGTTTCATAATGTAGAAGGAAACGTTTTGCACAAAGTAATGTTGTGCACGGAACTAAAGTGTTTTTTCCAAAGTCTGAAGATTAACCCTGAATATCAGCATTTTAAATAAAGATATACCTATGAAGCGCACAGACATAAGGCATTAAAATATACATGACATTTACGGTCTTAATTGCTCATGTCAAACCATTTGCAGAGTTTCACTCAAAAACAAAAGTGATTGTATTAGAAGACCTGTGTTCATTTTCTGAACCTTTGCTCTGTGCTCGTGATTGAATGATCCAAGAGGTAAGGACATTTGTCTCCAATTTGGGATTATGCAGAAAGACAATTCAGGAAAACCAAGTTTGAAATCAACGGTGCACAGGTTTATTTTATTTCACCTCTTTTCTCTAAAGTGAGAAGTGGAGCTCGCTAAAACAAACAAAATTAAATCAGGTATGTGTGCACATCATTTCAAAAACACAAGTTAACAGACAACCACGTTTTGCCAAAAAAACACACAAAAAAACAAAGTTCATTAGATGTAATCGTGCTCTCTCAGGTGTGGTGCCATTTGGACAGGAGCAGAGAGTTGTGCAGCAATCCTGTCCCTTAGGTGGTGTCCAGGACTTTCCTGTCCACATGCTGCGGCAGGAGGAGGACTCTGGTCCCCATCTTCAGGGGGGAAGGCTTCAGCATCCTCAAGGACATCGTTCATGTCTGTAGAGGAAACTTCTGTGTAGCTATGCAGTGGGAGTCACCGACTCAGGAAGGAGACACGGGAAGAGCAGTAGCTTTGATGTCAAACACATGATGGTTTATTTGGAGTTAACGGCCGGAGGATTCACATCACAAGTCCAAGAGTCAGAGGTTCTGACTTCACGGTAGAGTTGCCACGTCAATTCTGAAGAACTCTACCCCAGACCCATGTATTTAGCTAGTTCAGAGAGGCATCATCAACATGCTGCATAACAAGATAGAATGATAACACCTCTATCAGCTGACGCCAACAGGCAGGAACAGGGAGACAAAACACTGAGAGCACAGCAGCCAAGGTTACAGGTGCCTGTGCTCAGTCAGGACAGTTTGAACTGATACACTGGGTCAAAGTTATGGGCCTTGGAAAATATTCCACAACAATGTCTATGCACAGATTGTACAGAAATGCACAACATGCAATGATGTCAGGGGCAAAGCTTGGACTGACCTCCAGCGCTTTGAAAAGGGTGGCCCTCCAGCGAGCCTTCATCCTTCCAAATGCTCTTTCCACCACAGACCGAGCCCTGGCATGATGCCTGTTGAATCTGGCCTGCACCTGGCCGCGAGGGACCTTGTACGGTGTGAGTAATCCCACTGGTTTTTCCAGGCAGGGATAACCACCGTCCCCAAGGAGGAACCAACCAGCTGGGGGAAACAGTGCCTGGCAGAAGATGGGGCTGTTTCGCAGTACTCTGGCATCATGAACGGAGCCTGGATAGCCGATGAAGACATCCAGGAATCTCCCAGTTGAGTCACAGATGGCCTGCATCTGGATGGAAGGAAACAGCTTGTAATTGATGTACTCCTTGTGGTACTCGTTTCCTGGAGGTTTGATGCGAATATGGCATCCATCAATCGCACCAGCAGCACGGTGAAATGCAGGACTCTTTGCAAGCTGACAGAAGCCATCTGCAATCTCTGGCAGCTCATCTGCGGCTGGCAGGGAAATGAGGGTCTTCAGGTTGGCCTTTATCTTCCCGGTGACGTGTTTGATGATCCTGTGGACCGTCGATTTGGGAATCCCGAATGCTGAACCCACCACAGAGAGCGATAGTCCATGGGCCAAGCTGTAGAGGAGAACAAGCACCTCGATGTCTTGTCCCCATCCGTGGTCCTTTGGGGAGGAAAGCATCTGCACTAAATACACCACACTGGATCGCTTAACTCTAAAGTCCTTCTTTAGACAGGCTTTAGGGTTGGCATACACGGCGATAATTGGGGCAGTAGCATTGAGCTGCATGTAAAGACCTTTGCCCCCCTGTAAAAGACAAACACAGGATTGTTCAATAACCACACACACACACACACACACACACACACACACACACACACACACACACACACACACACACACACACACACACACACACACACACACACACACACACACACACACACACACACAGCTCTGTAAACAATTCTGAGACCAAGTCAAATTAACCTTTCCTTTTTTATTCTATAAACTACTGACAACATTTCTCTGTGTTGGAATTCTACAGACACTATACAGATATACACGTATAGCTTATAAGGAAATAATAAATGAATGTATATCACAATATATCTAAATATCTATTTGTATTACACATACAAAGTTCATAGGCTACTATATAAGAAATAAGGTGAAGATAATTGTTGTATTAGCAATATTGAAATGTTTACCTGCCACTGGAACATCGCTAAAATGCGCCTCAACCTTCTGCGCCTTCTGTTGGATCTTGCCATTGCACCCGCTAACAGGCGACGGATAGCAACGCAGGTCAATGCAGCCGACAGATGTGGGTTGGACACCATGACATCCGTTTCTGTTTCCTGCGGAGAGAGGGGAGGCCGTCCCAAAGCTTGCCGCTTTATTTATACCCTTAACCCTTAATGGAGGGAACTTCATTCAGCTGTGAGTGTGCCTACAGACGGAGTTCACTCCGTCACGGAGGGGGAGGGCCGAGGGAGTGGTTTGGGATTGGGCCTATAAACAGGGCTGCACATAACTGGTGCGCAGGTGCGCATGCGCACCTCGGCCAAAAAAAGAGCACCGGGTCATTTGAAAAAAGGCGCATTTGCGTACCAACATTGAGAGAGAGGGAGAGAGAAGGGAGAAGAGAAAAGAGAGAAGAGAGGAGAGAGAAGAGAGAGAGAAAGATATTTGCGAGTTGCATATGAACTCAGGGCCGGCCCGTCGCACTGGCGTTGATTTTCGCCTAAGGCGCCAGATCTGTGGAGGCGCTGCGCTGGCAGTTCTGGGAGGGAAAAAAATATTTTTGACTGTTGGTGCTCATCCTAATTTTCGGCCTTGATGTAACAACATTCATAATTAAGTAAATGTAACACCCTTTTCACCCCGGTTACACGTTTCATTTGCCCTGTACGATGGGCGCTGTAAGTGATGAAAATGGGGGATGTTGGCTTGTCTGGCGCCCGCAGCTCACAGCCAAAATGCAAGTGAGCGAGGGAGAGAGCACCAGTACCGGAGCTGTTGTTATTAGAATCTGGTGCTAGCTGCGGATATAAGAAGAAGATGTTTCTACAATGATGTGGAGGGAGAGTCCTCTCCAGTCAGACCGAGAGACTGATAACTACAGCTCAGTGAGGTAAAGGACTGAGTGTTTAGATAGTTCACTTTAGTCTAAGTTCAAACGGTTTGGTCACAATGTATGTAAACACATATTTTCAAGGCACTCCTTTATAATTATTGGGATAAACAGGTTTGAAATCATTCCAATGTATACTATAGGACAGTAACCCAACATATCCTTTTAAAACTGGACTTTCAACCCAAAACCATGCTGTTGACTTGTGGATGCAAGCAGCTAATCGCAGACTCAACCAGAGAGAAAGTAGTAGGCCTACATCATCAGCTACCATGTCTGACAGAGAGGAAGACAGTGAGGAGAACAGTCAGGAGGGTAGTGATGACAGCTTGTAGGATTACTGGTCGTGCTAATGTTGTCTTGTGTTCGCCTCTGCATGTGTGTTCTGTGTTCACCTCTGTGTGTTCTGTGCCGTGTGTCTGACAAATAAAGACCGGTTTATTTATTTCATTTTAAGGATGAGCACCAAGCAACATCTCCAGGTGCTCATTGGAGAACCAGGGCAAAAAAGCAACATTAAAGGAAAAAAATCGTCTTACCTTGTGTTGTAGGCCATAAGGTGAACCCTGTTATCGTTTCAACCCGCTCCACAGAAGTGAAACTACACAATCTTTAGTTCATAAAAAAGAACGAGTCATGCTTATCCACCAAAAAAAATATCGTCGCTAAAATTCCTGCCAATTCTTCTAGGCACGTAATTATTGGCTGAACTAGTCCCTTCGAAGCGTAATAATATCTTGGTCCAAAGTCGTGCCACGGTTCGTCACGTGATCGTGCTACACCAATTGGGTAGCTGCATATTGTCAACAGAAGTGAAAGATGGCGGCCGCCATGGTTACGCTAAACCAGACCAAATGGATTCTAAACAGTGCTGTATGCTTGTTTTATGTCATGTTTTGTCATATGTCTTAATACATCACTAAGTCCGAGGTATTTGCGTTATATACGCGGTATTTGTGAGAGGTTTTACTATCTGGGAACAGAGTTGACCATCGAATCAACATTGACTAGCAGCGTTTATCAGCCAACTCCAGCTACAAACAATTTCCCCACGGGGATTAATAAAGTATATCAAACTCATATTTATCAAACTATCATTCCTGGACTGCCATGTTCACATCGCTAGGTTCATTGGGATTATTCCATTAGACTGAGGACTTTTTGTCTGTCTGTTGTTACCCTGTACACGTTAAATGCACTCTTAAAATAAACATGACTTGATTTCTGCGTCCAAGAAGAAGGTTAACTTGTTACGTTAAGTAATTTAGATCAATAAAATGCAGTACTTCCAGGCTGAAGACTTTTCTTTTGTTGCTGCTTTTAATTGAACTATTCATATCTTAGACTGCACTGTAACTTTTATCCATGTATTTTTTCTTTTAATGTTTCTTTTATTAGCTTTTCTTTTGAATGACTGATTTTAAATGCCATTTTCTTAATGTCTTTAATTTTTTGTAAAACACTTTGAATTGCCTTGTGTTGAAAAGTGCTATATAAATAAACTTGCCTTGCCTTACTTATACCAATGTCCATTGATTCATTTATTTACTCATTCATCCCTCCACAAATGAAAACAACACTGATGAACCATAAAAACGAGATTTATTACAAATATAAAAGGTATGACATAGAAAACAGTAGAAGGACATGTAATGTAGTATAATTGATTGGTGTCAGGCTGGGCGGAGCGGCTGATTGGTGCTGTGATTGCCTCAGCTGGTTAAAAGAGTCCTGCTGATTATACTCTGTTCTAGTACCAAAAACAAACGCATCTATGAGTGATGTGTGAGCGCGTCGGCCAGGCACTAAAACCAAAAGAACAGAAAAGAGCTTAAGAAAGATGGAAAGAAGGCTCTTTTATTCCTATTCCTCACTGTCAGTGTCAGGGCAGTCATCGTTCTCTTCCTCTGTTTCTTTTTTATTTGCACAATTTGAGCAACGACATAAGTCTGTGCAACAGAGTCCTGCAGAGAAGCATGAACATCTGCCTTTCTCACAGGCAGACTCTTTGCAGCTGCAGTGTATCACATGCAACACACTGTCAGGGGCAGGATTTCTTGTCATCCAGGTGACGTGTAAGTTCCCATCCTCTATTTCCCAACCATATCCAGCAGGTGATGGAGCATTCATTTCTCTTTTGAGACAGGACCTCATTATTGCTGCCTGGTAATTTGCCCTTTTGCACTGCTGATGGAGGGCTTCATGAGTAGGGGGAATGCTTAATTCTGGCAAGGCCGATGATGCCATACAGAAAGCCTTGTACCTAGCATCATTTACATGTTCGGCTGCTGGCTGATCATACAGGTGACATACATACCGGCAAAGAAGTGCAAATGTTGATTGCTCCAAGTCAAAGTTAGTACCTAAACTTCTGAAAGCCTTAAGGTAGTCATCTTTCTCACATGCAACAGCAAATGACTTTCTTTTGCCTTTGCCATAGAAAGCGCTTGTGGAGTCACACCCAGAGAACGTGTGAATTCCAATCAAGGCTGAACACACACTGGTTCCGAGAGCTGATGAAACCATGGCAATGTCAATGATCCGTGTCCTGTTGCCAGTCCCTGTGAACACATATAAGCTGCATGGCAAATCTGCCTGCAGACTTACAGCAATGACTGCCACATCAGTGTCCGAGCTCTTGATGATGACAGCTTTGTGCTCCTGTGCAGCATGTTGGGCATGTAAAAACACCCGTGTGTCACATTCCTCATGATCACACTGCAGGTCTTCAACAACATCAACAGACTGTACACCCTCCATGACAGTTACACAGTGGCATTGATTTTGATGGGCAATGTACAAGCTGAGGTTTTTACCCACTGTTGTGAGGTCTGCATGTGTCCATGCCACATAAAGGAATTCGGCCAGTGCTTCCTTATTTTTTTCCGTCAGAGAGAAACTTCTTCCACTGGGTTGGAGTTCTCTGATCTGGGCTGAAGATTGTTATTAGTTGTGACCCTGCATCAGCTCTACGGGACCGTTCTAGGCTTTTGATGCTGATGGGTGGATACCGGTCAGTGACAAAATCAATGCGTGTACACTTGTGATGCAAAGCAAGTTGGAGTATGCTCTGCAGTATGGTCTCTGCAAGCTCTCCAAATGTTGCTGGTCTGGATGGCATGGCCTGCATGACTGCCATGCCATCAAAAAGAATGGCACCACCTATTGGAACTTTGTCAACCAAGCACTCTCCACCTTTGCTCTGCAATAGATCCATGAGAGCTGATTTGTTTGTTTTGGCAAGTGAACCATCAGCACTTGCTAATGGATATGACACAGTTCCCAAGGAATATGACAGAATTTCCCTCATTTCAATTTTCCTGCTCTGGCCAAGGATGAGGAGCCTGGAAAATAACTTCTTGTCAGCACGCAAAATCACTTCCTTGCCTGCTGCAGATTTTTTGGGGGGCTTTTTCTGATCACTGAGAGTCTTGAGTTTTTGTGATATTATGGGGGCAAATATGTCAACTGTTTTGGATAACAGTCTCTGCTCCATAAACTCCTTTACAGCATTTTCACCCTTTTCTGAGGCAACAAGCAAATCCTTTGTGATTTCTCCTGTTGCTACTCTTCCAGAGCTAAGACACACAATGCCGTCTTGGTGTACATCAAAAGGGTTGAGCATGGAATCAATAGTGTCCAAGATTCTACTCACAGCCTTTGCATCAGCAGAGATGCGTGTCTTGTCCAGGTCTTTTCTTGTCCGTAGCTCAGGAGATATCCCTGCCATTGATTCACACTGTCTTGCTATCGCGGCTCTTTCATGCTGTGACAGTATCCAGCGATACACTGCAGACCGATTTTGTGTGATCCCTGTCCAGCCACCTTTGGTCTTGGCATCTCTGTTAAGCGTTTGCTCAATAGCCTGGTCGCAAGCAATGGAGGCAAATCCATGAACACTTTGTCGCTGGATAGTCCACTGGCCTTTCACATTCATGTCACTGTGGCAAGAGGGATGTGTGACAGGCAGATTCATCATTTCCAGCCAGTATGCAGGTAAATATCGAGCGTAATTTACTCTATCGTAGGCAAAAAAACCATGGCATCATTAACCGGACGGTTGACAGGTGAAGCTGCCAGTTTGATTCTCGCGTTGCTCTCACAAACAGGAGGAGTAGCTGCATCATGTCAATGTATGAGCTCCAGAAAGCAAATGTTGCATTCTCTGTACTCCTCCTCTGCACAAAGTCTGCATATTTCGAGCACATATTATCAAACCTCTGATCTGCACTCAAAACATCCATAAATCTGTCTGGAAA